TGGTGCACCCTGGCCAACTTATACTCATACAGCAAAAAAGTCTATAAACCGGCAGTTAACTTCTCACTACCATCATTCCACTGTATGTCATATTCGATCCCTACCACATTACTCTTCTTACGCTTTCTGAGCCTCCGTGTTTGTCTGTTTCTTTTATATCTGTGAATCACTCTTCTGTTCCCCCTTTTCAAATTCTTCTCACTTTGATATTCCTCCTCCCCTCTGCAAGCCCGAAGTCAACTAAAGGGCTAATGATAACTATCAAATCTAAAGGGCTAATGATAACTATCAAAAGGCCTGCCATTTGGTATAAATAAATAAATATTTTAAAATTCGTGTAGTTGCCCGATAGCGCAATAGCTTAACGACTTCACCTGACCAAAATTTAGTGAAACAAAAAATGAGGAAATGAGGGGTAAGGGAGCAATGTATCGAGAGTCATCCATCACTTATCTAATTCTTTCCCCGCTTTTAACAATTTGGTAGGAATACTTGATTCTTTTTTTTCAAGGAAAGACTTTGCGTCGGTCGTCCTTTTCCGAGGTCAAACTTCAGCTTTCAGTTCATCAAAATAAACTACTTCTTGTTTTCATCCTGTCTGAGTTCACAAAATGACGTTTGGTTACTGGAGCGCTAGCCACAACAACCCAGTGACTGTGTGCATGTGTGGAGAATCCAGCCCATTGGCCCCCCGATAGGCTAGTATGACATATTTTGTTTCTTGCACATGCGTGTACGCATTCATATCCACCGTCGTGTGTGCGATACCACTTCCGCACCGGTAAACACGCACATTTGCCGGCTTCAAGTTGTATAAAAGGCCATCTACGCACACGATCAACTTCATTAGCACTATTGCCTTCGTCGGTTATCTCTCTCTCTCTCTCTCTCCACCTCATCCATCCACGTGCCTTCGTCATAGGCATTTTACATTATACCTTCCTCTATCTCACTCTCCCGTTCATCATACTCTCCTCACCTAACTGGAGTTACTAGTTGCCCGATGGAAGGCGCATGCACAATCGCACTCACAAAGAACTCTTGTGGTCTACTCAGTCAAAACTGAGAATAGTCGTGGACTGTGTATATAACTTTATCTTTATGCACGTTGCATAGTTCTAATCCGATATCAATTAGGCAATATTGTTTAGATCTGTATTAGACATCTGTATTAATATTATTATTATTATTGACAATCTTCCAATCATGTATATACAAAACGGAAGAGCCCTACTATTAGTCCTCTTTGCAGTAACCTGCCTTGTGAGCAGTGAGGGATATAAAACCCTGCCTTACTCTGTCCCCGAAAGGCATCCAATTGACGAAATTTTGTACGATCGTCCCATCATTGATAACCATCGAACAATGCTTGGTAAGTAAACAACGATTTTTATTTTTTTTACTAGAACTTCATGCGTATTTTAAATTGTTTGCATGGTCCTGATCTTTGTGAAGTTCATACTTTAGTAACCTGCGAAAGGAAACAATAGGGTCAATTTTCAT